AGAGACGCCTGACCAAATCGAGACTATTGGACTCCAACAAGTAAATCTGATAACCGGGAGTGGTTTCTCTAAGTTGTTGGCAAAAAAACACGAACTTGAACCCACTGCCACATGTGGGCTTGGTCAGATTGAAAGAGCCAAAGTAGAAGATGGTTCTATAGCGTTGCATCATTCAACGTCAAGACATTACGACTGCAAAAAGGTTGGTGTCATGGCGCTGCTTCAAGCAATGCCATGGTGCAGTGAGATCCTATTTTTCTGGATATCACAGGGAATGCAATGGACGTGGGATGGTTTCCCTTAAGGCTTCATCTATGCACTCATATCTATGCTTAAGGCTCTGTTTGGCGTAGCTGCAACTGCGGTGCCCCAGGAAGCTACTGCGGGGAAGCTGCTGTGGTGAAGCTGGCTGCCTGTTAGTTGCAGCTGTGTGAAAATAGCTGTGAAGCAGCTGTTTCTGGAAAATTGACCATTTTGTCCCTGTTTAGTGAAGTTGTTTAAAACATAACTATGATAATGACATATTTGTTACTTCAGAAGTAAAAATTTGTTTCAAAACATAACAGAAATACAAATACACCACTCACTTAACAGTGAATATCAAAAGTACTAAGAAAAAGAAAAAAAAACTAATAAAATTAGAAGTAAACTAATAATGATATTGTCTTTAACGTGAAGGCAATGACAATGAATGTCTCCCCTTAAACTGTCCTCCAATGATGCTATTAATTCGCGATCACTTCCAGGGGACACCCCCAACATTGACACAATGATTTAAAAGATTCATGTTATAGTTTTTTTACAAAATATTTATGTGGTTGTTGATTAGTTAATGCAAACCTCTATTTTTTGCACCCAGGGCTTGGGAACCGGCACTTGTATTTACATATCTCACACCTAAACTAACATATTTACATAGCACATTGGTACTTTAAACCTATAAATGAAAATATGCACTAAAAATTATTCAGAGGCTATCTGTTTTACTGCCTCACAAATGGGTGCGTGCGTGTGAATAAATTAGAGAGGAAGGACAGATGTTTCATGCGAGTAAGAATCACAATGAAGGCAATGAAGTTCTGTTGCCCTTTCATAATACATGCCCTAATGAAGTATGAGGATCTAAGCATACTTTGTCATGGAACAAATTATTCAGAATATCTATTTTATTGCCACCATTGCTGTTAGAATAACTTCTCAAAGCATAACATTTTGCAATTCAATTTGCATGAGCATGGTTAAGCATGACATCAACTACCAATGTTTCATAGCAGTGGGGATAAGAATGGTGGCAACCAAGTTCTGTTGCCCTATCATTCACAATTTTGTTAGTATATGCCCCAGAGGGGTATCTGTATATAAGCATAGCATGGCATGGAACAAATTGTTCAAAGGCAATCTACTTGATTGCCTCATTTATGTGTGTGTGTGTAATTGAAAAGAGAAGATTCTCTAAGCATAACAAGAATAGCTGAAGTGTCAATAAGAATGGTGGCAAAAAAGTTCTGTTGCCCTACCATAAACAATCTTCCTACTTTATTTCCCGAAGGGGTATCAATATATAAGCATAAAATGGCATGGATCAAATTATGCGGAGGTATCTACTTTACTGCCTAATTATGGGTGTGTGTGTCATTGAAAAAAAAAAAGAACTTCTCTAAGCATAACATTTTACAATTCGGTTTGCTTGAGCATGCTCTAACATACAAGAACTGCTGATTCTTCATAGAAGTGAGAATCACAATGGTGGCAACCAAGTTCTGTTGCCCTATCATACATAATTTTCTGGCCATATGCCCCATAGAGGTAACAATATATAAGCGTAGAATGGTTTGAAACACATTATTCAGAGGCTATCTACTTGACTGTCTCATTTATGGGTCTCTGTATGTTATTGATGCATATACTTCATCCGACTTTTTGAAAGAAAATACTGTTTGCATCAGCATTCTAAAAAAAAAGGATGAGCTAGAGATATCTTATGGATCCAAGGGCTAAGCATATCATTTGTATTTTGCTTTGCATGAACATTCTCAAACAGAGATAAAGGATAAGAAACAACCACCAAACCGACCAACACAAATCGACCACCAAAATCAAATAAACACAAGAAAAACTTCACCGGGCAAATCCACAATAAACGAGAGATTTCTAAAGGAAAATATTGGTTGAGAATAATTATACTGGAAGGAGAAGATCTTCGGAACTACAGTTTGGACAGTGGAAGGTCACACTCGGCGGGGTGCGAGGGGAGAACTAACGAAGGAGAAATTAGGGGTACGGGAGTAAAAAGCGGAGCGGTAATGCGGGCCGCGGAATATCACCCGCGGTCGGAGTTTCGCCCTGATTCTTGGCGGCCGCGAGCGAAACGCCGTGCCAAACAAAACCAAATCGCAGCCTCCCGCCGCACCGCGCAGAGGAAGCCGCGCCAAACAGAGCCTAAGTTTCTTCAGCAAGCTCAAGGGCTCTAGGAAGGAAAGAAAGATGGAGAAAAGGGAGACACTCATGTATGTGGGGTTAAGGTCGGTTTCTGACATGCTGCTCTTCATAGTGAGATGTTTTGAGTTGATGGAGAAAGGCACGCGAAGCTTCCTCTTTCACGTGATGGCTTCTAAGAAGAGTGAGAACCGAAATTTATATCTTCCTTCTCCTTTTCTTCATCTCCTTCACCTCAGCTCAGGAAGCTCAAAAAAGTTCCAAACTTCAACCCTCAAAAACCAACCATGGCCCCCTCAAGCCTCTTTAGCTCAAGTATCTTCAGCCAAGCCAAGCCGAGCTAAGTAAGTTTCATAGCAGAAACCTCTTTGGCTTATGGTGTACTTCCCTTTGGAGGAGGCCCAAAACTGGTAGCTTATCCCTGCCATTAAAGTGGGCAAGCTCAGCTATGCCCATGCACCTGTCCTTTTTGGAAAATATGATATCATTAAGAATTTCTGAAACTGGTGGTGGCACTATTGTGAGTGTTGCGGTGCTACACTTAGCTATGGCTAGATGTAGTTGATAGAGAAGATGGTGCCAGTCACCTGTACTGTGGCGCTAACCCCATCCTTATGCCATATATAGCTCAACACAGAGATTAAAGCACCTAGGCGTTTGATATAAGTGCTTTGATGCTACAAATGTGAAGTAATTGCTCCCAAATATAAAGAGTAATGTGCTTAGGTGCTTGTTGTAGTGTTAGAGCATGTTCAAAGATGCAATGATAAACTGAGAGCTTTGGCTGTGGAGTTGCAAAACTCAGCACTGCAGCGATGACCTCATTCTCCAATACTAGTGGAAACTTGGTTTCAGAGCGACTCTGGATTGAGTCAAAGGAAGTGGGGATCGTATGTGCTTGATGCATAAAAAATGATGCCAACCCGCTTATTTGCAAATTGAACAAATTTCTTGGCCTGCAAAGATCAATTATGATTTTCGAGAAAGATTAATTATGATCGTTCATAGTTGACATTAGCAAAAATACTGTGAAAGCATAGACATTTGCATTTAAAAGTAAGATGTACTTATCTTAATGTCTTGTTTGAATGTCTAGAAGTTTGTAAAATGTCTAAAGAAAATAAGGGCTTTGAACCTCCATTAGTAACAAAATGATCTCCATTTTGTTGTTTTTAATCAAGCGGTGATTGTGTTCCCTTCACTTTTTGGTTTCATTAGAATATCACATGTACTGTTATTCTACGGAAATTTATGTTAATAGAAGCTCATTGTACATTTGGTAACAGCTTCTGGGCGTAATTTGGGGGTGAATTCAGCTTTTCCAAGAACTTCATTGCCCACATTATCGCTCTTTCTTGGCAGATCTGGTTGGAAAGAGATGCAAAACTGTATTTTCTATCATAGCTTGTGGCAAATTTTTGATATGTTCTAGGCTGGGGGTGCGTGAGTTAAATCTTCAAATGAAGTATTGTTGTTGTTCAAAGTAAATAGTAATAAACAGGCTTTAAACAGGGAAAATTAAAATTATCTTTCTGGCTTCAACCATGCAACTCTGATATAATCATCTGACTAAAGTCCAACTCAACAACCTATAATTATAACTTGACAATATATATAATTAAGGGGTCTGCAAAACATAGCTCAGAACAACTTTTTGCCCCTTAAAAAATCATGTGCAAATTAACAACACACTTCCTATAGCCTATTTCTATCACTGTTCGGCATTTCATGAAATACACAACTTATCAATCATCAAGCTTGAATGATATCCCATCTAATATCACTAGTTTGCAAATGAATTGTTTGCTCATTCTGTTTGAAGTTGCGTAGTCTCAAAGCCATGACAACTGGTCGCGTGATATTAAGGTTTGAGGTTTAACAGATCAGTGTTAAGAAAATGTGTGAGCCAAATTTCTTAAGCGAATATTTTTTTTATCAGAACTAAGGTTCTGGTTGTTTGGCCATCTAGTAATGAAATGCAACAGACTGGTATTATATCAATGTGCTGTAACTGAAGAAATAAAACATAATTGGAAAACACCTTTCATTTTTTCTGCAGATTCATAATTATCTTAGAATTGGATATTTTCTTATGAGTTTTTTGGTGACACAACATGTGTATTGCTTTTGAAATTATATGCTACAAGGCAGTTAAGTGCATCTCATATGTTTGGAGGCTTGCTTGTGTCTATACTACAAGTTGAAGATTATTTATTTGAGTTAAGCCGTCTTCTCAGCTCATTTGAAGCTCCTCTTTTTTGTTTCAGTTTTTCCTATGAATCAAAAGGTTACACCAATAATTAGGTTGAATGATAGCCAGCTATAAAAATTTGTTATTGTTCAATAATGTTTTATAATGTTAGATTTATGCTTTACAGAAGATTTTGACCATAAAGAATTTTGATGTTCGAAGTGTGTTGGTGATGATGAATGACAAAAAAAAATTAACTTTCATTAATTCTCTATGTGCTTTATGCACAAAACTTCATGGTTCTGCTCCAGCTGTAAGTTTTTTTTATTATAGATGTATAATTGCATGTACATTGATTATGAATTGTCTTTAGGTTCCTGGGTTTCGTCCTGGGAAGAAAGTTCCAGAGAACATATTGATAAATTACGTGGGCAGGCATAATATGCAGCATGCTGTAATTGAAGCAATTTTGAAGAAAACACTTCCACAAGCGATGAAATCGGTATGAAGCATTCGCTTTACAAGCATAGCTTTATGTGCTGTGACTGCTATCTGAATAAACAGATAGCAGTTGTTTCATGCCAAAAATTACAACTTTTGTCCATGTATTCTATAATTAGTGTAGGTGGAAGGAAGGGCTTTGAAGGATTCTGTTCGAATTGCGACTAATTTTGCGGAGATGTATGATACCTTTTCCCCGGAAGATTATTTCAGGTTTGTGTTAGTTAACTTATTATCGTAATCTGGATTTTCGTTCTTGGCTGTTCTCTATCCTTTTTCATATGTTTGCATTAAACAATTACATTGTGAAAAGCAGCTCTGTATATTGTCTGTGCTTCAAATCATGATTGGACGCTACTTTTGACTGTATTAGAAGGATTTATCTATATGTCCAGCTTAAGTAATTGCTATGAGCCATGGGCAGATTGTTGCTTAAACAGTTAGACCTGAAATCAAGTATGCAGAACTTAGATGGGAGAACCGACAAAAGCATTTTCCATTTCCATAGTTGAACTATTAAACTGCTCTGATGTGATCAAGAGAAGAACTTAGGTTCAAAGATGTGATTTTGAATGATGGCTCATTGATTTAATTCGGAAGATTAGCATGGTATTATAGTCATCTTTATCTGGCTTCAAATATTGATATCCTTCCCCGGTCTTTTTTAAGTCCTCCATTTGGTATAATTTTCGTTCTTTCGAATTCTGCGAGTGAAATAAAACTAAATCCATCATGGTCATTCTTCATTTTGATTTATTTTGCCGAGGCCTTGGTTAATTTGCTATTATTGCAGCGGCTACATCACTTGGGAGATGCAGCTTGCACAGTAACAGCTGCTTCAGTGGTGCCATGCCATAGCTGCACCCTCAATCCTAAATTTATAGTGCCACAGGTGTGGTCTGTTGCTTGTAGTGGCTGCTGCTGCTGCTGTGAGTGCTGATGGTTATTTTTGTTCTCAATGGCACAAGAGGACATTAGTTGATGGCAGTGGTGCCGAACAAAGAAAGGGTATGAGAGATAAAGAGCGGAGAATGATTTGAGTTTTTGTGTATTTAATTAAGAATCTTGTACTTTTATTTATACAATAGAATTTGAGGCTACTTTTGATGATTTCTACCTATGAAAATACTAATCGCTTAGTAATCACATGAAGTAAAAAAATATTAGTAATCTTGTTCCATATTTATAGCTGCAAAAATAACTTGGGGAGGAAAATTGCTTCTATTATTCACAAATAGGGTATATATATAGAGAGAGAAATCAATCCCTCATTTTTTACAAACTTACCAAACATATCTCACCTAAATTATGAAAGGAAATACTTCTGAATAAAAATAGAAAAATATAAAATATGAAAGGATTAAACCAAATCAAAGGTTTCCTCAGATGTCCAAACAAATCTTCTAAGATTTGGATGTGGTGGCTGACCCACGTGAGAAAGATATATATGTGAAAAAATTGTTCTTCTCAGATTTCCACACTGCCCTCAAGCTGGGTCGTAGATATTGTAGAGACCAAGCTTGGTATTGAATTATGAGAAGTTGTTGAAAGGAAGAGTTTTGGTACATTTCAGCACTGCCAATCACTTTTCTCAACTCCACTACTTTTGTGTATCTCGAGGTTGGTGTGCTGCCCTAAATTATATCCAAAGTAGAACTTAAAGTCTTCATCCTATACTTTTTTATAATCTTCATCCCGCACTTAATTATCAACCCCAAGGGTTTCTACTTTACAATATGATGACAATTATTAGTGCTAAAAGCCAACTTAATAATCTATGGGAAGTTACAGAGATAAGACATAATAGCTGCAGGAAAGAACCAAGAAAGGGCCTGCAATAGCGAGACGCTTCGAGGGATGGGCCTACAACATAAAAATTTGTTGCGGGGAGAATTTTGGAGGAGGGCCTGCAATAGGGACCCTTCTGGCTTTAAGGAGAGTTTCAAAGGGGTCTGCAGTAGAGAGAATTTTTGTTGTAAGGAAGAGCTACGAAACTGCCTGAAGGGAATAGTTTCTGATGGAGGAGGATTTGCTGCTATGAAGATTCCGACGACAAAGTTTGAACAGAGGAGATCTTGCATGGATAATTTCAGTGCAATGAAGAAGATGAGCTCTGGAGGAAGGCCTGCAGGTTGGCTGAAAGGATTCCGGTAGAGGATGGTCTGCAAAAGCAGGATTCCAGATATAGGGAGAGCTCTAGTGGCAAAGGAGAACAGAGGAGGACCTACATGGACTTTTGCGGCGTGAAGGAAGTGTTCTAGCATTGATGATTGTAGGGAGAAACTCCAAAGGAGGGCCCATTGCAGGGAAAAGCTCCGATCGAGGGTCTGCTGTAGCGAAAAACTTCGGAGAAGAGCCTACAAGAACAGGTGGTTGTAGGAAAGATTCCAGTAGCTGCTGTTGTTGCGGAGGACTTAAGAGGGTCTACCAGAGGAAGAGAGTTTGCATCGAGGGCCTATTACAAGATCCTTCCGCCTTTACGCAAGAGTGCTAACAAAGAAGATTTTCGACGACAATTGGAGGAATTGCTTTGGAAGGAGGTCTGTAAGTCTGTATGGAGAAACTAGTGGAGGCAAGTTTGCGGGAGGGAAAGTCTGGAGTTGTTGGCAGGGAAAATCGGGAGTTGTTGTTGCTATTGGTTGAAGTTTCTGCCCCAGGGAAGGGAAGCTTGGTAAGAAGAAGGCCCGACGGAGGTCGTTGTGTGTTGCCTAGTCAATTAGAAGACTGGCTGAGGCCGCTGGGTGCAGTAGCGACGGGGAACAGGCTGATGAGGAGGTGAACTAAAAATGACAAGAAGATTCGAACTAAAGAGATGCACTTCCATGTTTCGAGAGAAGATTGGAACGATAGAGCTTTGCCATCTCGCATGCACACGTGCCGAAGACGCAACAACCCTATCTCTCTAGTGTATGAGAGGAGACAAATTTAATGCGTCGAAGATGGTGTTAGAGAATCCCTAGGGATTCTTCATTGTCGTCAGTGCTGCTATTGCTGTTGCAAGAAGATTCTGGCAATGGAGGCAAAGAAATAGAGAGACAGGGAATCCGAGAGGTGTTTCTTCAGAGGAGGGTTACATTTTTCTTCCCCTCGGCATTTACAGCTTCTTGGGGAGGAGGCAGTGACTGTTGCTCCAATTCAAAACTGGAATCTGCATCTTCACCATCTTTTTCTCCATCTTCTGAGTTTGTTTCAGAAGGAGGAGAAGTACTCAAACCCTACTTAAACCATCCGAGGTTCGAGAATCTCTCAGCTATGATAGTGGGTTGGCTTTTGCAGGAAGGAGATCCAGCTGGGAAAGTCTAACTGTAGGAAGGGTTTGACTGCATGAAGGATTCACGACCTTAGTTGACAATAGAAGTAAGTTCCGGCGGGGAAGGATCTGGTAGCAGGAAGTTTTAACTGGGAAGGATATGATTGAAGGAAGGATTTGGTTGGCGGAAAGAAGAATTGTGGCTTTGGGAAAGAAAGTCTGGTTCTGGCAGAGGAAGCTCTAGTTTAGTTGGGCGGTGAGTCAACAACTATCGGAGGAATTCTTCCAATAAGAGCAATCTAGGGCGAACTTTAGAGGTTTGTTTAGGAGCAAGTCAGGTGGATTTATAGAGGTTTGTTGATTTCTACTAGAGAGAGAAATCCATTTACACTAGAGATTGAATATGATTTACACTAGAGAGAACGGTTGATCTCTGTTGGCAAGAAAAACTCTCAGACAACTTCTAACTTGCGGCTGAAAGGGGAAAAAATAGTGCCTCTGTTTATGGCCACAACATCTACGTCTAGAAGGAGACGGCGACACCTGTGTTTGAAAAGGGTAAAAATGTGCATGTTGGAAGTAGTAACACATGTAGGGAGGGAGGCTGACAGTTCTGAAAGAAAGTTCGGTGCTGGAGGGTTTTCTGACTTTGGCAAGGAGCACTTCATCCGGTTATGGGAGGAGGCCAAGTACTAAAAGGATGGCAGGAAGCAATTCAGGCAAGTCGGGAGCTTGGCTCTGATGCCATGTAGAAATTACTCGGGGAGGAAAATTGTTTCTTCTATTTTTCACAAATAGGGTATGTATAGAGAGAAAAATCATCCCTCATTTACACTCACCAAATATATTTATCCTAAATTAGAAAAGGAAATAATTTTGAATAAAAATAAAAAAAACATAAAATATGAACGAAATATACTAAATCAAAGGTTTTCTAAGATATCTCAAATAAATCCCTCATGATTTGTGTAATAATAATAATAATAATAATAATAATAATAATAATAATAACAATTAATTGAATAGACACGCAGGATAAGCGCCCCTTCGGTTACGACTTAAGAGTTGTATTACTCTTCATTCAAACCAACATAGAGAATGAGCAACAAACAACAGGAGAGATCGAGAAGAGAAACTGTTGTGCCCTAGTTGAGGTAGGATGAAGAAGTTGCAGGAGAAATGTGCGGCCACTATGCAGTATCGAGTTGTGCGAAGGAGAAGAATCTGCGGTATTGTGTCGAGACCGAAGGCGGAGGAAGAAGAGTGAGGCAACGACATCAAAGGCTTACCTGGAGCGAGCCACGATCGAGGAGGAAGCTACGGCTTCTTTCGCTGGTGCAGTACGAAGGAGAAGAAGCTGAAGAAGAGGAGGAAGAGGAGACCACAGGTATTATTTGCGTTGAAGCTGATGATCTTTGCGTCCGGCTTGTGCAGAGGAAGGTCCTACGCTTGGTCTGTGGGGATGAGTTGGGACGGAGGGAAAGGAGAAAGAAGGGCAGGATCTCGTGCGTGTTATGTTTATAAGACCCGGAACTGAGCTATGTCTATGGGATTGAAGCTTTAGGTAAGCAGAAGTTGCTTTTAAGTTTTACATATATAAGTTTATGTAATTAATAGATTTTAATATTCATAATTAAAATTTATGAATTTAAATCAAGCATTATTAGGGATAATTTTTTGAGGACTATCGAGTTGAAAATTATTGGTAAGGTAAGTTTGGGTTATATTAATTACTTGAATGTGAAATATTTGTTTACATGCTAAATGCTAATAATAGGTTTAATTTACTCAGATATAAAAGTAGAAGATTAAAGGTGAGTCAATTAGTTGTAAGAGGAATGAGGAGACTTGTCTAAGGAAGCAAACCAAATCATTTTAAGGTAATGAATGGTATAATTTTTTATTTGTGCTATTTTTATTATATGTCATTAGATATATTAAAATTTTCTTTTAGAATAAAATTCTTATAATTATATGCATATTTAATTAATAGATAATAATTAATAAGTGAAGTGAGAAGTTAAGCAATCAGGGCTGTCATTTAAGATTAAGGTGAGTGATTATTTTTTTTATACATTAATATGTGTCGGCGCTAAAAAGGGGGGAAGAGGTTAAAAGTTTGGGGGTAATTTGTTCAAAAGTTGTCCGTAAGAAGCTGTCAGTCGCTGGAAATGAAGTTCCGTCGCCCGCTTCGGAAAGACGTTTTAATTTACATATATATATATATATATATATATATATATATAATAAAATAAAAACTACCTCAAATCTTGTATCTATCCCGAGAGATAAATACAAGACTTGAGGGTGAGACTCGATCAAAATAAACTAAGAAAACATATGACTTCCGTTTGGTCTGCGAAACCGTTTTATTTGCCGACAAGTTCCCCTATTTAATACAAATAATTAAATAGGGTTTATTTTAGGCTGAATTCGAAAAAGCTTCCTATAAGGGCAAACCCCTATAATTAATTACATCTTAAATGACCGAAGTCACTTAAGAAAACTCTCGATAAAAATCAGGGAATACTATTTTCAAAGAGGTCAAAAGGATAAGACTTTACAACGAAATCAGACGAAGAGGTGTGAAAGGGGAAAAACTCGAATCTGGAAA